TTACAGAAGAGCACAAGTAATGCTTTTGCCATCGAAAAAAAAAAGTGCTTCAAAATCATATACTCTCCCTTAAAAGGTATGGCGAAAAGGAGGCTTTCTGCTGCTGGTCATGCCACTTTTTACAAGAGTTAAAAACGGGCTTCTACAACCCTTTATTCTGTATGTTTCTTATATCAGTAAGAACACAGAAAGATTACTTGTTTTGTTATATGGTGAAGTTAGAAAGTACTTTAATAATTAGCTTTAAAACAAAGCAACAAATGAGTCTTTAAACGTAGTTGGAATCATCTAGCAGGTGAATTTCTTATGTATAAGTCAACTTTATTTTGTGAGCTAATAATTCTTTTGAGTAGCTCTTAACTTGTACCTAGACTCTTACAATGTACTTCATGGGTATGTTTTGAAGAATTTTTTATGTTGAAATACTGCTAACAGTCTCTGAAAGTAAAGAAAAAAAAAGCAAATCACAGAAGTGTTTTCTCTGGCCCCAATACAGCCAAGAAATATTTGACGATTCTTTAGTACAGAAATTTGCCCCAAACCATTCCAGTAAAGCTGAAAAACAGACTGCAATGCAAATATATTAACAAGCCATAATACTGGCATTACAAAAATGCTTTATTTCAAACTTGTTTACTTTTCATTCTACCTTAAAAACAAACGCATAAAAGTCTAGATAAAAATCTTACGATACAGAAACTTAAAAACACTTAAGTGCAAGTTGTTTACTCACGCTGTAACTGTGCAGCCCTCAGCTGTTTCTTTAACCTTTCCACTTCATTCTTTAAAAATCTGATATGTCTCATCATATTTTCTGGAGAATCTATCTCCATTGATATGTCTCTCGGTGATGGTGGAGCAGATACTGGCTGGTCTAACTTCTCCTGTAAAATTCTGTATGAAAAATAGTTTAAACATTACCATCAACTCTAAGAAAACAAAACCAAAGCCAAACAAAAACCCACTGCAAGGGGTATATACTAGGTTTTATGTTAATGATGGGTTTTGCTTGGGAGAGTTTTGGGGGATTTATTTCTTTATTAATCAAAAAGAAAAAAAGAAAGAAATTAAGAAGAAAAAAAGAAAGCTGCTAATGGCAGCTCTATGAGGATCATCTTATATGTTCAGATATTGATAGTGGCAAACATTTCTGCCTATAGTTTGGAAAAGTAAACCACTATATACAGGCACTTCAGGACACTACTACCATAAAAATGTATCTAATCAAGTTCATTTAATGTCTTTTGAGGTTTTTATTTATGTTCTTAGAAGAAGAACATATACTGAAGATAAGAAATGAGTAACGTAGCATTCACGATGATGTACAAGTTTTTCTGCATTGCTGGCCAACGTTCATTGGATTGGTGAAAGAAAGATCTTTACTGACACCTTGAAGCAGATATTTGCTTTATCATCTGCAAAGAGAAAAGTATTTCTCATCATACTGTTCTCTTCAGGTAGCCAAGGTTTCAAATACCTCAAATACCTTCCTGTGAATTCAGAAGTAATGAATTTTTCCTATAAAGAAATAAGTGCACAGAAGATATTGATATTCTAAATTAAGATACTTGGAATTTATATATAAAGTATTATTTCACCTGAAAACATGAAACTCTTCTTCATCAGAAGCACGCTGATGAGCCAGATCCAGCTCTGGCCTGCAGAGCAGGCACAGCCCTGTACAAGCACAAGTCTTGGCATGGCTTAGGATATACACGTGCCATACGTACCTGCCAAAGCCTCAGTTAGGATTCCCTCTCCTACAATGGACTGTAGGAAATATGGCATCATCATCTCTTCTCCTCCCCATGAAAGAGTTTTTAAGCTATGCCTTGCACAGAGGCTCAGTTCAGAATATATTTTTAATCTTAACTTTCTCAGGAACATAAAGCCTCACTGCCTTTGCTTCTATTGAAGAAGCAATAGGAAGCCTCACTGACATGGGTATATCACTGAGGAAAAACTAAAGTTTTCTTCGAGGAGATAAGGAAAAGACAAGAACTTCCTATATAATGAGTACACTAAAACATCATGTTATTTTCTTGGGTCTACAGATGGACAGACGACCCAAGAATTTAAGCAAACAGTGTATCAGAGAAAAAAAAAAAAGCTTTGCCAGGTCACATATTACTTTACTACTTAATTTCATCTACTTTAGGTAATCAAGCACATAATATTACGAGAAGAAGAAGCTTCACTGCTTTAAACTCCATTTTTTCACAAATTAAACAGCCTTTATGGGATTGACACAATGGTATTTAATCAAGAAGTAGGCATTAGATGACGCTTATTTCACAATAATAAATACACTGCAACTAGACAAACCGTTTTTCTGCTTCAAGCTTATCCATCCTCTTCCAGAGACGATTCACTAGTGCTTCTTGTTCTTGTTCCAAAGTATTTTCAAGGTCAATCTTCTCACGTCTTAGCTGGAGAGGAAAAACAGGCAGTGAAAATGACGGGAGTGTATTTTCTGCAAGGAATTGTTATTACAAAAGATTGCTACTGTGATGAGGTTGCTTTATGGTATGTTCTGACATAGCAAGGAGGAAGCAAAAAGGAAACCAAATTAGGAACACCACACTGGTCATAGGGCCGAATTGCTGAGGGGTGAAGAGGAGTGTAGGGTAGGGGTGAGAATTCAAGAGATTCTGGACCTGCACAACCAGGAAGTCCTTAACACAGATTTTTTTCCACACGGAAATTGTCCAGGTTTCAAGTTCTTCTTTATTATACTCATATATGGAGCCAACATGTGGCAACTAGTGATACGACAAGCCGTTTAACAAATGTCTCCTATTCCATGAATCTCTAAAGTTGAAACTGAATTTAATACTATTTTCTACTATGTAGACATCAAATGCAATATAATAAAAAATAGCAAAGAAAAATATTGTTTCAACTGCTACAAGTGTTACAGCATCAGTCCTTAATTTATTTCTATCTTAAAAAATGATTTATAACAGACATTACTTAATTTGACAATATTCACATTCACTCATTGTGTAAACAAATACTCTTGATTCAAATAGAAGTTAATTAAAGTGGATTTAGTTGTACATTAAAATTCCATTATTACCGTTTCAGAACAAATAAACTAAAATATGAGGAAAAACACTACAATATCAGCAGTATTCAATAACACAAGCAGCTGATTTCTCAAAGCCAGCTAGAGCGAAGCAGGCTTTAACAGATCAGTAGCTTTGCAGACAGAAAATACCACGGCTATGTTTTTCCAGCAAAGATGTAGCTAACACTCACCATTCTCCTGAAAGGCAAATATATCCACTTTACTAGTTGGAAAGACTGAAAACTGAGTTATTATGTGATCTTGCATGCTTATTGCATCAGCATGGCTGAAATACTACACTAACATTTAAATTCATAAGACCTCTGTTCCAACTACTAAATTAACAGAGATTCAAATAAACGTATGCACTTGAACTTACACAGGCAGCAGTACAAGTTTCATGAAAGTACAACTTTCACGAATACCAAATACCAAAGAGAATACCAGAGAATACCAAAATATTGTAGTGAAAACAAATCTATTTAGTTTAATGGTAGGAGAAAGGACATGCTGGAATTCAGACAAGGATTTATTTAGGACCTCCAATTTTAAAATCTAAAATTGCCGTTAATACTGTAGCATCCTTCACCAGGTAGCAGAGTCATATTAATTAGAAATCTACATGTAAGTGAGCATAGATAGACACAAGTTCAAATTATCATGCACAATATAGAAATGAGCCTTGTTTTGTGCCCTGAAGGCTGCCAAACATGCTCTGACGAGCCACCAAAAAAGGTGAGGTGCGAAAGGAAGATGTAGAGCTCCGCTTCCCAGCGGTACGGAGCAAGCGCCTTCGCCTCCTGGTCTTCGTTGCTGACCCAGTTGTTCCTCCCAGCATCAGGATATTCAAAGCTCTGAGGAGGAAAACCTTGAACTGAATTTATGGGACAAGGGCCCTGCAGTATCCTGACCAGAGCTGTGCATTCAGACAGGAAGGTATTTGTTGTGTTGGAGGAAGTTTCAGGTGGATCTGAACTCTATCCAGTGAATTTGGATTCATTATATTTTGAACTCAAGTGAACACGACAGCATCGCTCCTCAAGACCAAATCAAAATCTCGGTCTGCATTAGTGTAAGTCCATATGGATTCCACACTTACTTTCCAGTCCAAAAGCATTTATTTTTTATAGCCACAATAGGGAAGGGAGGATGTATTGCTTGGATTTTTTCAGACAGTAATTCCTCCCTGTTAATCTTCCTCACCATTCAGTCATGCTTCTGTCTGTCTGTCTCTCTCTTTCACATGTAAACTTATTTCAAATACAGCTACAAAATCCACTGTCTGTGTATTCCTGAATTACTGTTTCTTCAGCCTTCTTGTCAACTTACTTAAAATTGTTTCCTCCTGAAATGATGGTGATCTTCCTAATCAACGAAAGTTAAAAACGATCTCCGACTAAGCCCACACAATCCCATTTTCACTTCTTCTACCCTATTCATCTACCCTTCCTTTATTTCCTTGGTGCTATCCAAGAATATCCTCTAGAAGATTCTACACACTTCATGATGCTCTTCTTTCAAAGCAGGTACTGGAGAGCATTATTAGCATTTAAATTCTCCTTTCTCCTTTACTCCATCTCTTCTAGTTACCCACTATGAAAAGGGAAAGCAATTAAAAAGGTAACAGAGAAACCACAGAGACTGAGGCTCTACAGGGCAGAACTCACAGCTATTTTATTTCCTGTCAAATCACTGAACTCTAATGCAGAAGACTATTTTAGCTCATTTTAACTAAAATATTCAGCTAATGAAATAGTCATGTGTTACAAATTTATTCACCATTAGCCTTCAGGGAAAATGTTCTGCTGCTTCAAGCTGACCTCAGAAAATCAAATGGACTCACATTTTAAACCTAACACATCTTCATTTTTTAGATTAACACTGTACAGAAGCACCACTGCTGTAAACAAACTATCTACTGGTCAACTGTGGCATAAGTAGCTCAGATAATCCAACATAGGTAACTTGTGCTTCACATTTTTAAAAATAACATTTTAGTGAACAGTGTTATAACTATCTGACCACAGGTGACAGTGATAGACCTAGTAAAGCCATAAAGCTGCAAGTAATGCAGTCTTGGAGATTACGTTCCAAATACAAGGTATTGCTGAGTACTCTGTAGGAGCTCTAGCAATAACAAGTATCCCAAAGATTATGTTGAAGAGCTGTGGCAATCACTCTTCCTCAATTCCCTGTGTGTGCAAGTACAAACACAACATTGTGCTGCTCACAACTTTCAGTTGCTTCTTGAGAGGTACGACGTACGCCCCAAAGGCAGCGGCTTCATGTTGCAACTTATGCAATGAGTCTTTGTCTGAATTTGTACAAGAGATGAAAGGGAGAAAAGAAATGTGTGCAAGTGCTGTACATGCATACGTGCATGCTGAAGCTCAACGTAACTTATTACACCTTACTGTAAGACAAAACAAAGGTATACAATGCATTACACTTAAATACACAAGGAATTTCAAAATAAGGTGTTAAAACTGGCTGTCAGACTTTAATTAAACACAGCAAATGCTCAAGGCCAGATATTTAAGAAGGATCTAATAGAAAGAAAATACAAGCAATTCAGTTTTGAGCTTTCAGGTTCTCTGAACCATCGATTGTTGATATTTACACAGTGACAAGCTTCAAATTGAATGGTTTCACAACTCTGCCCAAAATAACAGTATCAAAATAACTACCAGCAGAATTTCAGCTGTGGCTCATACTAATATTCCAAAAAATAAAAAGAATTTAATATGTAAGTTTAACTTGTATTCATTTCAACTTTGATTAAATGGCCGCCACTACCACCTTGTGGCTAAGAAAGATATTTCAATCTCGTATTGATTTCCACACTGGTTAAAAATTTACTGGCAACTAGATATGCCTACTTTTCATTTTTTCATATTATTTCTCAGATACCTCTCTATACGTAAATTTTCAGTTTTCTTAATACTTGTTCTAAGTATCATTTTCATTTATTTTCTTCTATCTTCATCACCAAGTTACCTAGTGATTAATTTATCCCCAATGTCAAATGAAATAACATCAAATACAAACCCGGTAGAATTTCAAGTAATCTGCAACAGAAGAGTTGCACACCCATGATTGTTTTAGAGGAGAACAGCAAACAAATTCAGAGAACTAATGCATTGTGTTTGCACCATTCAATTTGCAGGGCTTCCACGAGTCAAGAAGAACGAAGTTCTTCAACCAACCTGTATTCTTCATCAGTTTGCCTTCAAGTCAACAAGAGACTTCTACTGACACTGCTTTGATGCACATGTGTAAAGATAGACATATGAACAGTCCCAAATTCTAACCTTCCAGTGGAAACAAATCTGAAACAAGCAGCGTTTTCCCTCTGTAATATTCACTGCTGTCTAAAGAGAAAGGGAGTAGGATGCAGCTAATCCCAAATCCCCCATCACGAGTATATATGTGGCTAACATCTAATGGTTACAGACTCCTGGGCTACCCACATTGCCACAAAAGAGGGTCACCTAGAGCACAAGCCACACACACATGACTCGGTCTTGGGCTTAGCTGCTCTCACAAATGACAGTCTCTCTCACCAGCCCGGGATGGCAAAAGCCAGTGAACATCAACAAGAAGTTGTCACACTCACAAAGCACTCACAGCTGCTTATCAGATGTGAGGGTTGTGTTAAAGGTAGTAAGAGTTGTAAAGGTCATGACAGATATGAAAGTTCTCGATAATAAATTATGTTAATGATCAATTGCTTTGACTGAAAGTTAAATTCACTTTTTCATATTCTTGGTATTGTCTGGTTTCTCACAAATTTAATAATTTAGCATATCAAATCTAATATAAAACAAGCAGATTTCTTTTCTACAGTTATATAAACTTGAAAGTAAAGAGTTACCTGCTCCAGGGTGAGCTGCTTCGAAATAGTATCATTTTCCAGTTTTTTAATTTTCTTCATAAGTTTGTTCACTTGAAATTCCTGTTCTTGCTCTAAATGCTGCTCCAGTTCAGCTTTCTCATGCTGTAGCTAAACATTTAGGAGACAAGAAAGTATTTTAAGCATACAACTAAGAGCATAAAACATATTATGCAGCATTTATATGCACTATTTCTTATTAATTTCTGGACTGATAGGACTTGTTTTCCTCTCACAAGATTCGAAAATGCAAAACCCGTAACAGCATCTCTAAGAGTGCCATTTTAGAGTGTGCACAATTTATAAAGCAGCTAGAAGTAAACTACATTTTCAAATATTTAATGAAGTAAAAATGCCACAGAATAGATACATTCCAATATTAAATATAAAGCATGATAGAAAAATCACCATTTTAAAAACAGAAAGATACTACAGTGTTTGCAAAAGCATTAAATTTAATCTAAATGCCTCCCCCTAATAGCATGTAAAGCTTAAAATGCAGATCTTTGCACTTCTTTCTCCCATACAGCTGAAAGTTTAAAATCATGACTGAAGTCGTACTGTAGGTGTTATTGTGCAATATACCAAAAAAGCCCCAATTCTAGTCTTAAGGCAACAATAACAAAAATTTTGATGACATAAAACAATTACTTCAAATGTATGCTATAAATGTTCTTATTACTTTAGAAAAGGCTTATTTTTTCAGTTAATATTTCCAATTAAAAGGAGAAAAAAAAGTCTTGTAAATACAAGACCCACCCATTATAACACAGTGAAATTATGATATGGAGCAGAGCTGCTTTTAACACTACATGTCAAGATCATGACAACATTCATTCAGGTCTGACTACATACAAAAACAACATGACAGTCACCATGATCCAAACACGTGAATCTGACTTACTGAAAAGTAAGTATCACCAAAAGACAGTGGTGTAATTACACTGTGCTCTGCTTTTATACTAGAAATTGCAAGTACTTTGTACCACCTGCTTATTTACTATGGTAGGTGAGCCATGGTGAAGAACAGTACTTTGTTTTACTTTATTTTTTTAACTGAAATCCGTAACTCATTAGTTCAATCCCTTTGCTGCTATTTGAAGAGAAAATGATTTGTAGAGCACAGCCTGGCAGAGCCCATGGAGCAGAAGTGCTAGGGAGGACAGGGCACCAGTATCTTCTCAGACACACGGCCAGCCAAGGAGGTTTGCAGTGTTCCTGTGCTTCTAGGGCTTATCCATTTGCACAGATTTCATTTTTCACAAATTAAGATAAATACTAGAAGCATAATTGATGCTTACTGAGATGTACTTCTTCCACTGACAAAATTACACTGTTTTTCCCCAAACCATGACGGAATGATTTGAGAAGCATCTCCAGTTTTATACCACTTTGCCATAAATTCCCATGAACTTGAGGAAGCCATTTGGTGTCGTAATACCACAGACTAGCAGCGCCGTTTTCAATTCAGATAGCTAGGAAATTTTGTTGAATTGTCTAGTCAGAAATAAAGCCACTCAATTTCTTAAGCAAGAAAGAGAAGGGCTGCTAAGATTTTCACTAGAAAAAAAAAGAATGTAATCTCATACTTTTAGAAAAAATAAATTGCACTCAAAATATTATTTCTGTTGTTAAGTAAGCAAAAAAATGAAGCGCCTTTGCTGAATAATGCAGTAAAACTCAGCTGGAAAAAAAAACAAAATGTATGAACAGGGCATTATTCAGTTTTACAAGCTTCCAAGCCCCTTTCCCTGCTTTACTGTTTCAGACTCAAGACGACCAAAAAGCACAGGGAGCACAGGCAGCCTGCAGATCACCACCTAGCTCAAGGTTATGCACCTCCTAGTCTCAGTTCTGCTTAAATGCAAAAGGCAGGCCCCTTTTTTCACCTAAATAAAAATCGAGTCCAAAGCCAGTTGCTGTAATCAGCTTATATTTAGCTGGCAAATTAAACAGTGCAAAAAGGCACATGGCCAAAATCTCTTCCTCAGCCTTGAGTCAGATGCTGGTCACAGCAAGGGTGTGATTAGGCACTGCTGGCATTTGCAGGCAATCCAGGGAGCCTGGCAAGCAATACAACTGCGTAACATAACCTCCAACCAACTTAGCAATAACAGTGGTTCTTGCTCGTCTCCTTTAGGCAAATGCAATTATATTATTGTTTAAAACAAATCCAGCTCCAATAGCACAGTCCCGCTTGTCAGATCATTCCTGTTAAAGCTTGTGTGGGATTTGCATCACGCAAGGATTGATCAGGCTTACTCATTAGATCTGTAGCTGCTGTGTAGGACCTGCTAAATCCCATTTTGGCAGCATGAACACACTGTGACCAAACGATGTTGCTAGCTGATCTGAAAGTTAGCAAGTAAAGGCAGCAGAGATCTACTCACAAGAATATTTTCCATTTCTGATTTATACATTAATGCATCAAGAAGTGAAGTGACAGGAAATAAAAACAAACCCACAATTTCATTCCCCTTTGGAGCTAATAGGGATTAGAGCATGAATACCCTCCTGGATATTCTGATTAAGCTACTTTACTGCACACTCCTCTTTACCCTTTTGGCTTTACTACCCAAAGTGGAGAGAATGCAGGAATAGCAAAACATACGTTCACGGTGTTTACCAGGTAAAGTCAATTTTCCTCTTAACTAGCTTTGATCAGAGAGAAAGACAAACGAAAAACACCACACTGTTAACGATAAAACCCTAACACTGAAAAACAACATTTCTAACCTTTAACAATGAGAAAATATTCATTAAGTACTAAAGTATAAAACCAGAACATTTTCAGACAAACACTGTTTTTAATTATATGCTATTACAGTAACAACTGTTTACAAATACTCCTATAGCTGCCAGCAAAAAAATACAGAAAAAAAATGTGTTAGAAAATGAAGTGTCACCTTCCTGACAAGGCCTTACAGCCATTGAAATGCTTATGAAAAATGCAGGAGATGCTAGGGAGGACTTAAAGACAGTTGCATAGGAAAAGGGATGGGTTTTGGGCAAGAAAGGCTGCTAATGCTTTAAACAGAACTGGACCATGAAAAATAAAACTTATTAGCCACAAAAAATCCTGCAGCACTTAGTGCAAATCCTAAAGGTGCTTTATACACTAGAGCAATGTTCTCCTCCCTCTGTGGAAACAAGTCTCCTGATAGAAGGTAGCTGCTCCCTGTTTACTTCCTTGCAGCACCATCTCACTCGAACAGCTGGAAGTGCTCCTATGAAATAAGGCACCTACTTCGCACTTTTTAAACAAAACCTTCATTTGCCCATCAGATTATGACTTTGAATACTGCGCTACTGAAAATCTGTATTTTTTACTGCTTTAGTCACACAAAAGGTGTCCGACTCCTCCTCTGCTGCATCCCAGAAGTCCTCTAAATTGACAAACTACATATCATCAGTTTACCTCCACTCTGCATCCAGATGTTCATCAGATAAGTGGTACATGAGCTGACTCTGTTTATTCCGCACAATCACATTTGCATCCCTGAGCTGATGCACGGTATTTTGGGAGCAGAAAGGATAATTGCTTGTGTCTACAAATTTATGATTTGAGAGAATTGTCAAGAACTTGACTTGCACGAGAAAGGTTGCAGTGTAGCTCTCCATTTCTTCATCTGCTTGACTACACACATAGGGCTATTATCTTGGTAGGTCATAACATTTTACTTTCAAGGACACATACTTGAATCAATTTGTTGCTGAAAAAATACAAAGGATATTGACAAATCTGTATTTCACTTTGAAAAGAAGTTCTAGGCAATTTAAAGAACAATTAGATTTATAAGTTAAAACAATGCTAAGGTTCATTATGCTTTTGGGCAGCCTTATTTCACGAAAGAGGCAATTTCCAAGACTTGTTTCTTCCAATCTCAAAAAGGTATCACAACAAGTACATGCAGACTATTGGAAAAAAACGAATCCTGCATCAAAACAGTTCTAAAGGTCCTCTGAGAATATTATTGCCATTCTTTAACGGCCAAGAATCAGAGAATCCATAAAAGTTATCATTCCAAACTTCCTAGAAACTTGACCAGGTAGACAAAAATATAGCTAAAGAGGTCAAATACACAGAAAATAAGGCTTATAATGACAATATTACAAACATCTGTATGAAAGAGCTCCTCCTTGCTCTAAAACTCTACTGAGATGGAGGTCATCTCCTTGCATCTTTGCAGCATTTAGTCTAGACACTCGAAACCTATACCTAACAGAAAAAAGCTAGTAAAAGCATACACTCATTTAACGGTATTGCAGAGGCAGTAAAAGTTAGCACCACACAGTTGTAAAGAAGAATTATCAAGAAATGGTATGGCACTAGAAAGCCTAGCCACAGAAAGGCAGCAGTATTCTACGTTAAAAACCTTCTTTTACATGCAATTAACTATGTATGTTTAAAATCAGTCTGGCAAGTACTAAGTGTTTCAAAATTCCTTTCTTGCAACAACATCAAAAATGTAATGCAACTCTGCGTTTTATAACAGTAATGCAAATCATGCTGAAGTGGGAAATTCTTGTGAAGCTATTAGTGGGGAGCACTGTAGTCCGTGCTCTGGCAGACAGCTTTCACATTTAAAATGTATTGACGTTCCGGGAGCTCATTCCAGATGCTACTCTGAATGCAAAGCATAAGCCCCTGCAATTGTGAAAAACAAAGGTTTGACAGTACAAAAAACACACAGACACTAGGAAAGAAGTCCCTCTGCTAAGGGGCTTTCAACTGAATAATATGGCACTAATTTCTAAACAGTCACAGACTGGTAAATACTTGAAAAATTGACAGACCTCAAATCATATGCAGGCTATAAAAGTACTTCCCTCCCTCGGTTCTAAAAGGCAAAGTCTTCAACAAAACAGATGCGTATGCAGCTTTTGTTCCATACATAGCCATATGAAAAGCAGGAAGCCATTTGATGCACAATGTCTGACAACATGAATTTGGGAAGTTTAGTTCCAGGTTAGATCAATGCTGCCTGACAGATACACACACACACACACACACACACACACAGATTAAGAATTCAGAAAAACAAATGACAGTAAAGCAACTAATTACAATTTAACACCATTTAGCTGGAGACCATTACACTTCTGGTAAATCATCATTTAAAGTCTGTACCTAATTCAGTTAGAATCCAACCCAGAGCAAAGATATCGCAAGTGGAAGTGGACAGGGATCAATTAACTGTGTTTATTAGCCCTATAAGCATCTCCTCAGTCTTGTATCCTCAAATACTGGGCACGAAACCTTCCTTCATTCACATGATTCTTGTCAACACAAGTGCAAGCTACCCCAGATCAGTCAGAATTGCCACGTCTAAGAAGTTAATGGCCAATACTGTCACTTGCGAATCTCGGGAAACTTAGAAAAATCAAATCTGCATCTTAGCTTTCTATATCTGAAAAACTTCATTTGGGAATGTAAAACTACAGCTGCACAACTGAAAATATCCTGAATTAGAAAAGTCAAGATACTATAAAAGTGATGTGTACTAATAACCTCTTTCCTCTTAAAAAAAGTTTATTTATAATATCAGAAATCTCTCTTCTTGGAAGCTTTATGAGGCAATTTACCTAGGTATACAGCCAGGATTTATAAATGAGACTCAACACATCTAAGCAACAATTAACCTTCCAAAAACAACAAGAAAAAATGTTACTTGCAGTTTTTAACTAAAAAAAAAAAAATTATATTAACACATTATTATAGTACACAGTTTTATATTAACAGAGTGCCAGTTTTTATAATAAGCATGGTTTGTCTTCAAACAAACTTGCAGCTGTACTGCAAGCCATGAATCACTGTAAAGGTACAAAAAGCTATCTAGATTTCTGGACCATAGAAAGCTTCCGGCTAGGCAGATTCCTCTGATACAGTTTAAAGCATGCTTTGCACTACAGCTTTGATAAAGAATTTATCATCTTTTCCTCTGCACATTGTGGGTAGCAGGCCAAACAATAAGAAGGATACTCAAAGTCGTTTTCCCTTCATAGGCACTATCACCATCAACAGGATATTGACAACTGTTCTCTTTCTGCAGTCAACCAGGTTAGTATTTAGAAAGAGAAAAGTTAAAATTTTAACTTTAGAAAGTTAAAATTTGCATCCAAATGTTGCTAGCTAATCAAAGCTGATGGATAGTACAGTTTTAGTATTACCCAAATGGAAGGCAAGTGCATTTTTCAAAACTAAGAAATCACCTTTCAATATCTTACGGTTAAGCAAAATCTTCTTTATCAAAAGCTGAGTAAGACTTGAAGGAGGGCCATACAAAATGAAGTTTAAAGCTGTAGGCTGATAACTGTTAAAGATAAGCCTTTAAAGGAGTATTTAGCTTGTCTAAAGGGCGAATTCTGCAAAACAGGTAGGGAAGTTATGGCTTACCAAAGTATACTTCAAGCTATTATTAGGAATGGGAATTTAGCTGTTGCAACAATCTGTGCAGTACAAAATTGTAATTATGCGAGTTCAAAGACTCTTCAGCCATATCAAGGATGAAATGTGCTTTTAAAGGAAGTAAGCCTTACCTTGAATACTATGGCTCCACGTAGCTTACTTAAATATTTGACTTTTAAGTAGCCCTTAGAATCAAACAACATTGCTCAAAATGCCATTTCTCCACTACAAGAGACTTCAGGGGAAAACTTGTACAGTGATACTTATACCTCACCTCAAATTGAAAAGAATACTCAATAACTTATTTTTATTACAATCAGCTTTAGCTTCTCTATTTCTTTAAAATTTATGATTTACGATACAGGTATTAAGCTACAAAGTCAAAGTTTCACTTCGAAGTAAAAAAGTGCCAGAAAAGATTAGCTTTAATGTTGTTTACAAACAACATATTTGCTAATTGCAGGGCTAAATGTGCTATATATCTCTGGCTGCAGAACATAAGAAATGCTTACAACACACAAATCAGGTTGTTTAAACCTGATTGATTTTTCCATGACAAAGCTTATAAGTAATTGCATGAAAGAGAGAGTAGGTCACAAAAAAAAAAGAAAAAACAACAAAAAAAATCCATCTAACCTACTACCCTGTTTCATACAGAGGCCAAAACAAGCATACAGGCAAGTCTAACAGAATAGGGCAAAATGTACAACATTTCCTAAAAATACCCGTAATCAAAAGAAGTTACCATATATTTCTCTGACATAAATGGGTCCAGCATCTTAAACTGTTCACTTTTAGCATCCAATTGATACAACTGCTTAACTTAAAAGAAAAGACTGAAAAAAAAAGACTTTTAACAGTTTGGGTAAACCTATGGATAAAGTTTGCTGGTGACCTACAAACACCACTACAAGTTTTTATATATTTTTATTTCAGAATGCCAACAAATGCTCCAGAGAAAAGCATTTCAATAACCTTTTTAATTAAAGTAATTCCCTTCTGCAAGACAGTAAACATGCAAGTTACACCTATTTCTTTGCATGACAGTTCAAACTTCGAGGTTTTCAATACAAGTTTAAAGATACAAACTTTATAGGCATTGCTTAAAACAAACAAATAAAAAAACCCACTCATTACTCATTTGTACTTTGCTTTTATCAACAGCAGCTTTACACCAGCTATGACCTGTCCACATCCCTCAGACTGCAGTCATAGTAACAAAAACAAAAATTCAACCACCATTTGGCCCTGAGGATCTTGGGAGAAATACCAGTAAAGGAACCAATTACCTGCATCAGTTTTCTTGAGAGCTCATTAGTGAGAAATTCCTCTTCCTTTTCATAGTTCACTGCGAGTGTTTCTTTCTCTTTCTGCAGAGCTTGAATCTTCTTAAACAGAGTATTACTGATGAATTCCTCTTCCTGCTCTGCCCTTGCTTGCTGTGAAGAAAAGACATGTTTTTAAGAAAAAAGCAAGTTTTCATACAATTATTCTCAAGACCACCCTTTCCACCAGTATGTATAAAATATCTCTCTCTGTGTACACATACACACACACACATATATATATATCTAAAATCTTGTCCACAGCTGTAGAAAATGCCCTATAGTTCTTCTATCCTGAGGGTTTCCAAGCTTCACAAGCTGAGTGCTACTCTGGAAACTTTCCCTAGAGAAGTATATGAGAGAAGACAATTCCCCTTTCAGCTTTACTAAAGTACCAAGGCATGTCTCCAAAGAAAGCCAGCCTGTGAGCCCCCCTCTCTCTCTCTCTCTCATATTCCCTGTAATTTAGATATTCCTAGGTTTTTAGGTGTATTTTTAGAAATTTTTGTAATAAAGAAGTCATCTGTAGGAGGTCTGTTCTAAAAGGCCACATGCTCCACAGCAGCAAATCAAAGTTCACAGGTACAAACTGACAGAGCCAACTCCCACCTCTGCGGTGCGAATGCAGCTACCCAAAAAGGGCAGAACAACAAAAATGCAGGATTCTCAAGCTACAACCAGAAGTCCTGGAGTGCTTTTCCCCACCAAAATAAGATCCGCGTAGTCTGACCGCACATTTGTGATTCATCCCAATTCTAATAAATGACACCAGCTTATAGGTTGCAATATGAACAGATTCAGTAAGAATTTTACTTCAATAAAATTTGATAGAGGAAAATTTAAGAACTAACAGCATAACTGGAATCTAACTTCCAAAATCTTCTACCACAAATCTGCCAGGATAACCTTTTCTTTATACATGCCGTGCACTGGAAAGTACTCAGAAGATTTCATTACGTCAGTGGTTTTTAGCTGGAATGATATATTCTCCTGTGGCCCAAGAGACAATTGTTTAAGCAGACAGACCTTCCATATCTACGAAAAAAGTTACCTAAAGATCAAAAATGTCCTTAAAGCTGGGGGAGCAATAGCACTATTGCAAAAATCCACGTTTGATCTGCAGTATCATTAAATCTAAAGCAGCAGCTCTGGACACTTTTCAGTTGAGTCCTCCTGCCAAGGCGCTCTCTGCATTGTCATCTCTGCTTCCTTGCATCCTCTCCCTGTCTCCATTGCTTTCCTGGCTGCTTTTCACTGGCACCAGCTCCCTCCCCTATCACCAGCAGTGCAGTCACAATCTCAAGCTTGAAAAAAAAAAAAAAAAGGTTTGGCACAGCTTAGGTCCCACACAGCATCTCCTCTCTGATGTTGGTGCATCTCCCTGGCAAAGAACTGCTACTCCAGCATGTTGACCATTTGTAACAGTGTAAAAGTTCGTCACAACAAGACAACACATAGTGGCCCAAGAGCTCTGCAGAAATGCTCAATTGTCACCTTCCGCCTCAGGGCTAAAATCATCTCATTCATTGATGTCACCATGCAGGATTTTTACTGGTGTTCATTTTTCAATGGTTTAAAGAAAATAGAGTACACAGACCAAGATTACCTAGCACTGAATTAGCAAGCACTTGGTTCTAAAATAAGGAACCAGAGTATTCTTCCTTTGATTTCTGTTCATTTTTGACTTGCACAATTTATTCTGCTCATGCTTCGCACCCTCCAGAAGCTCTAAAACCCCGTTACTGTGGCACTGAGCCTGACAACCACTTATTAGTTAGATATTCATACCACATTAATGATCCCAGATCACTACTGATCCCAGCTCTCTTGCACGAGAGTGTCCTGCCCCTCGTGCTGGCACTGCTGGAAGAGCAGGCAGACGGGGCGCAGGTGCCACCCAGAAACTAATCCTTTCCCTTCCTCCTCCCACTTTTCTTTCCTCCAGCAGTTTCCTAAACTGGCTTACCACACAGGCAGAGCTCTGGCATGCGGAAATAAAGAGTGAGCAGCCACAATTTAGACCTGTATAAACAGCTCTGGAATAATCCCCATCCGCTGTGCAAGGCACCAGCCTGCATTGAGCTGGCACAGAGCAGACACAGGACGCCACAGCATCTCCCACAGCAAAGAGCAGGAAGCCTGCACAGACCCGAGCAGGAACTGCCAGCTCCAGATATAGGTGCTTCATGCTAAATACAATCAGTGTCCATCTAAATTACCTAAGGGTCAGCCATTTCAACACAAGTGAAAAAATATGCTACAGGAATGAGACTGGGTAGAAAAGCATGTGAAATGCTACCATACTCTTTTAAAAATATACCTTTTTCTTCCCTGAAATCTTTTCTTTATCTTGTCAATTATTACACTTAATTATGATACTCTTAGTAATAAAATCATCCATATTTGCCTTAATATGTCCTAAAATCTTGCAATCTGTTATTCATTTACTCCACAGTCAGACTAGTGCTATAACACGGTCATAAGTCAGTACTTCCACTACAGAAGGAGATGCAATTAATGTGATGAAGTGTCAAAAACTACCAGGTTACCTCACAAAAAAAAAACAAGAATGAAGTGCAAAAAGCACACAGACACATACAAAGAAGAACTCCTCTATTTTCTAGGAATAAAATTCCTATTATTGCTATTGAAGAAGCATGTGAAATCCTATCAGTAGGAGAGGCTGCGTGAAGTGTTGTAGAAACCAAGCTTCTTGAGTTTACAGTACAATTGGCTAATTTTCAAAAGAACTAAAAAACATATTAGGAAGTAAAGCTTATTAAAAGTTGTTTTTCCATATGCTGCATATACTAAACTGTGAAGTGTTTAGTGTTAAAATCATCATCTTCTCTCAATACTTCTTTCACTAAATACATCAAATTAGTAGACCGAGTACAGACAACTAGATTTCCCTCTGCTCTACTGCTTTGCTTCTAGCTCCCGGTGATGTTTCTGCTTATGACGGTGCTACATTATGAAACACTGAAATCAAGTGTTTCTCATGAGAGATGACCTTCACCGCAGTCAAAGAGAAATGACAGCCATCCATGTTCCCTTCTGCTCCCAAATAAGCTTCCCTAAAACCTTCACAGATCTCCTGACATGTGGAGCCTACTGGGCAAGCAGATGCAACCAACACAAACAAGGAAGAAACAAGGAATTAGTCAACACCAGTACTGCGCTGCCACCAGACGTGAGCAAGAAATGGCATTTTCATTTCAGCTCTCACTTAAGCCATGGTTTCAGTAAGGAACATTTCAGAAACTCACTCACTTCCAGGCACTCACACCTGACCACGTGAAAGGCAGGTGGCAAGTCTGGACTGTGCTCTAGTACAGCATCACTGTCTCCAGCAGTATCCAGAGCTGACAACAGATTTCCCGGGATACTGTGCAAGGCGACCTACCAAGGCCTGCCTTGTTCCAACCTACTCGTGAAGTTTCCTCATCCATTGCAAAGAGCCACCGTGACCTCCTTGCCCTCTCCAAACCTTTGGATGGTACAGTGTTCATCTCGAGGACCCTATGGGCAATATAAGCCAGCAGATGGAGCTGAAGTGCATTTTTATCTGCTCACTGCACAGGGAAGAAACTCAATCTCTGCTTCTGAATATAGACTGAAAGGTAGAGGCAACTTTGGAAAGACATGGCCTCACTTGCTGCATGTTAGGCAGCTTAAGCTGTCACTTCACAAAGCAGCCTTCTGTGAGAAGCTGCTAATGTATGAAGAGGCAAAAAAAAGAAAGAAAAAAATAGCATGAAGAGCAATAAAACGCAATGGCATGATTTTAAAATATGAAACTCTTGCACAAAATAACTAAGTTTCCCTGTTTTCCCTGACCATTAACTCAAGTTACTGCTCTGGCCATGCTTTCTGGCATGGTACAGAAAACTCTTCATCTACAAATGAAATTAATTACCGTGGCAAACCAAATCTGTACATTTGCACCAAGATTGTTTTTATACTACAGCTCTCCCAGGCTTAAGCTGTTCTTTCCACAAGCCCCTGAGGCAGCCCCTGCAGCACCCGTGCTGCACACAGCAATACGCAGCGCTGAGTGAAGGGGAAGGCGGCCTGGCAGCCACCACAAGCTCTTTATTGAGAAAACGCGGTTCTCAAGAACACAGAAGCAAAACGGAGCGCAGAGCAGCTCCTGGAGGCACTTCCCCATTTCTGACTTTTCTGTTTTACAATTTTCATTTATTTTTTAACTTGAGAAGAATTTTCAGTAGTAGTGGAGTGATGCAAATATGCAGGACACTGCACTTCAACTTGGGGTATAAAGTAATTCCTAGAAGTCCCCTACTTCAAAAAAACCCACAAACAGTATTATCCGACATGTTTCTCCCAAAATATTGGGTTGTTGGGTTTTGCCTTTTTTTTATTATTATTTTATTTTATTATTCAAACTTGGTAAATGAGAAGGCAGGTATTTCTTTTTCCTCTTTTCTTTTTAAACTTAAAGGCTTACCACAGATCTGCCTCCGAAACAAACAAATATTAAAAAAGTTAACTTCAATCTGAAAAATTTGACTACTGTAAATATTACCTCTGCTGTAACATTAAAGTAACATACAGGACTGCCTTGAAATACAATTCCTATTATATTCCAGATCTTCAGTATTTGTGGTCAATTGTACAATTTTAAGAGGAAAAAAAAAGGAAATTAGCTTCTGTTACAATAATAAAGGAATATATAGATGATAAACACATTTAAACTGTTAAAATACAGCTTCTTTAAATATCCATTTATAACCGAAAATTCTTTCTCTTCTGCTTTGAAGGAAAATGAGATTTTTGGCTGGATGCATCAAAATGCTTCTGTGACAACACTCCTATTTCTGAACTCTAGTTCAGAAATAAAAACTCCATTGAGTTTCTGCTCAGAACCAGATAGGTGATAACAACATTTTGCCTTGCGATTCCGCAAAGGCAGCAGACTGATTAGAGAAACCAAGTGAATCAAGTGACATAATTCACACCCTTTTCTTCCAAGTCAGCTTTAAGCATGATCACATGTCAGTGAGATGCACTCAGCGTTGCAAGAGCTTCTCACAGAAAGCCAGTTACCTTCCAGACACTGCCACACACGTCCTGCGGTTCAAAAAGCTACA